GAAAGCCAATGTTCCTCCTCTTTGTCCTGCTCCCCACCATCAGAAAGCAGCCCTCACACCCGGATCACTTGTTCAGTGTCTGAGATATCCCTCTTTATTCAAATAGAATGGCTTTCCTCTCATAGTTCTGGAAAAGGTGAAGCTAAATAAAAATGTAAAACAAAAAGTACATTAGCTACTTATATTAAACTGGCACATAATGATGTTGCTCTAAGAAACACCCAGGATTTTATATGAGGATATGTCATCTGAAAAAAAATCATGTAAGAAGCTCATTATAAAATATAAAAATTTGAAGGCAATAGAGTGAAATGTGATCCAGAGCGTGGAGTTTGGAATAGTAAAGAGACATTTCAAAATCTTGGCTCTGCCAGTAATTACGTGTCCTTGTATAGGTTACTTCTCCTCCAGAATTTCTTTTTTTCCTTAGAGACAGAGTCTCACTTTGTCACCCTTTCTAGGGTGCTGTGGTGTCACAGCTCACAGCAACCTCCAGCTCTTGGGCTTAGGTGATTCTCTTGCCTCAGTCTCCCGAGTAGCTGGGACTACAGACGCCTGCCCCAACACCTGGCTATTTTTTGTTGCAGTTTGGCCGGGGCCAGGTTTGAACCCCCAACCATCGGTATATGGGTGCCCTACTCATTGAGCCGCAGGTGCCAGCAACCTCCATAATTTCTTTATCTATATAAGTGAGAATGGTGCCACACAGGGTAGTCATGACTATGTTCAAGATACCCTAATGGTCAATAATAATTTCTTATTTTACCCACTGCATTTTCAAAGTTCAGTAGATATCTACAACAGCTGCTTTACCTTATAACAAAAATTTCTCCAAAGTCTGAAATCTGGGGCCACGTCTTGCCCTCTGCTTTCTCCCTGTACTTTCTCCTCTGTGTGCGTGGAAGGTGAGAGGAGTTGCTTGCATAACACATATTTAGGCAATCTATTAGGGGGAAATGTGGTAAAGCATGAAAAGAAAATTGGAGTTGCTATTACATTTTTAAGATATTACAAATTACCTTCAAATCAAGGTTGTACACTCCTAGGCTTTGTTAAGCTTTTAGATTTTGTTGGCATGATAAGTAAAAGGTCTTCATACACAAAGAAGGCACAAGTTGTAAAGTAACTAGGACATAAGGACCAAAAAGCAGAAATTTTCTCCGTTCTAGGTACTGATAAGAATCCCCTCATTCTTAGACAATTGCCCAGCAGACAGATATGAATGAGTCTTTATCCAGAAGTGAGTTACAGAGCTTTTTGCTGTTTAGTCATTTGTGTTTTGGTTGTGTTGGTTTTTGCTATGCAAGTCTTTTTTAAAAAATGTACATGGTTGAATTCAATCTTTTCTTTTATCTCTTCGAGATTTTGAGAGATATTAGTAAGACCTTTAGGGTATAAGGCCTCCATGTCTGTTCCCAAAATTTCATAATTTCATTTTTCCCACTGAACTATTTAATGTGTTTGGAATTTTCTTTAGTATATGGTGTCTGAGATAGTTTTACCTGTAACAGGTAAAACTGAGTGGTATTTCCAGAAAAAAAAATTGTTTGTCTCTCATACTGCTGCTCTGTGATATGAAATGCCTCCTTGGCTTGCTGTTCATATATATGAAAGCTACTGACATCTGCATATTAATTGTACTCTAGTTCTTAATTCAACTTTTGATAGCTTAATATTTTAGTTACCCAAAGTTTTCAGGCATGCGTTCATTATATGATATCATCTACAAAACAGTAATTGTTTTGCTACTTTTTAAATAACAGCTTTATTTAGGTATAATTCACATACCATAAAATCCACCATGCTACCTCCTTTTAGAGTTTGTCAAGATATAACATCTTCCCTTTCTTATCTAATTGTATCTCCAATAAATGGAAAATAATAATGGTGATAGGGGCCTCCTTATTTTGTTCTGACCTTTAGTTAGAAATGAATCTTGGGTTGTCCTATTGTTTGATGTTGGCTTTTGAGTTGAGATAAATGTAGTTTTATAATGTCAAGAATGTATTTATCTATTCCTATTTTGATGAATGTTTTAAATATCATACATAGGTAAGTTTGTCAAATATCTTAACCCATTGCTGACCAGTCATGAGTTTTCTGGTAACATGGATAGTTTCTGTGTAAAATCCCCAGTCAAAAATGTATTAAGATGTCAGAAGCACCAAGTGATTCTATATTATAAGCAGTTGAGAGATGAAGAGGGGAGAAAGAATAAAATAGGCTGAATTTGGGGCAACTGGGAATTGAGACTGGGAAAAAATGAATCAAGGAACAGCTGCTATGTTAACATACTGTTGGCCAGCAATTTATGCAGAAATAATCAGGTACCAGATAACTCATGACCAATCAGTAATGTGTTGAGCATGACTTACTTCCAGCTATTATAGCCAGTGTAAATATTCTTTTCTCCCTTTTCGATTTTGCTTTTCCTTCTCCTTCTTGTCTGGATTCCCACCCCTGTGGTGAAGGTGTGTTGCATTTCATCCCACAGGGCTTCTAGGGTGATCTTAGTCACTGCTGGTAGCCTGGTGGCCCTTTTCACTCAGCACATTGTACCTACCACCTACTTCACTGAAAAAAAGAGTTACCAGGTTTCCCCATTCATCTTTTTGCTTTAGTGTAATGTCTAGAAGGAAATTACTATCTCACAGAATCACATTCTAAATCTTTTCTAAAATATAAACATTGTGAGATAAAAGTTAAGTAATTAAACTGTCCTCAAAGTGGACACTGAACATTGCCCAGGCATCTCCCCATTTTTCCTTGATAAGGAGCCTGTTATGTTACCCACACGTCAGCCACAACCCTTCCTTATTCTCCTGAAATAATAAGACAGCTAATCTTTTATTGCTCTCTTGCTACACACCAGGTGCTGGTCTACATGCTTCATAAGCATCACTTCACTTTATCTTCCCAGCACACCTGTGAGGTTGGTGCCAGGAAGTGGTGGGGAAGAATGGATAAGACGGTGAGCTCTAAAGCTAGATGACCTGGTTGGCCACCTGCTTACCTTTCTGCTGCTGCTTCTGCAACTATAAATTATAGATGCTAATAGGATCTACTTCCAGGGTTGTAAAGAACATATGGGAGAACAGATTAGTACTGGGGATATAGCATGACATGAAATACTATGAGATTTAAGAAGTCAGCACCCAAAATAATTTTACACTACATGTTTTCTACTGTTCTCCCACTTTTATAGATGAGAGCAGAGTATTACATAATTTATTGATATATAACATTCCACAGCTAATGGAACCTTCATTTAAATCAAGCCAATTATTCTCCAAAACCTATGCTTTTATACCCTATGTTAGTTTTCTAGGGCTGCCATAACAAAGTGTCACAAACTCAGTGGTTTGAACAACAGAAATGTATTGTGTCACAGTTCTGGAGGCTGGAAGTCCAAGATCAAGCTGGTGGTAGGATTGGTTCTTTCTAAGGGCTGTGAGGAAGAACCTGTCCAGGCCTCTCTCCTAGCTTCTGGTGGTTTGCTGACAAACTTTTGTGCTCCTTGGCTTGAAGGCCATGAATATGTCTAAATTTCCCTTTTTAATAAGGATACTAGTCATGAGGGGCTCACCCTACTCTGGTATGACCATATCCTAACTTGATTAAATACCCCTACAATAACAGTTTTCAAACAAGGTCACATTCTGAGATAGTGGAGACTAGGACTTCAACATGCACACTATAGGGGGCCCCAATTCAACCTGCACCATCTAAGGTACTGTGAAGTACCAAGCTCCCTCCCCTTCCATGGCTGTCAGTGTGTTTGTGGGGCTTACCAGGCACCAGGCACCACCCTTAGGGCTTTTATGTATAATCTTCACTTAATCCTCATGGAATCCTATGAATGAGGTCTTATCATTATTCCTATTATGGCTAAAGAAACTGAGTCACATATGAGTAAGTGTTCTGTGACTCACCCCTCTCCTCCTCTCTTAAGGCTTGGTCCCATGCTTTGTGGACAGGATTCCATCAGGCCCCCACCTGTGCTTCTTTGCAGCTCCGCCCTTGCCATGGGGGGCATCTTGATCCATCTGGTTGTAGATCATGTTTCAAGAATTATCCTGTCTGTCCTTCAGCATTAATAAATAATCACAGAAATAAATGTGTAATAAATTAAAGTAAGTGCTACAAAAAGTAAAGGGGTCATGAGAACAATCGCAGGCTGATGGGTCCAGAGTGCTGTGAGGGCAGCAGTGGAACTAAATAAAGCTGGACAGGATAATGAAGAGCAGATGACAGAGGGATTTATTCTGGCCTCACTACAGTAGAAAACTATTGCAGGGCATGGCCTATGCCAATTTACATGGAAATGGCAAATTATAACAAAGTAGAAAATGTTATAATTGCCTCTGAGCCCACGCCTCTCAGAGACAACCCTTCCTTTGACAAATGAAGATCAGTAGAGCGTTCTCTTCAAAGAGCACATGTGCTTAATTATATTACCTGCCTCTTCACAGCAATAAGGTCCTATCATCTTTTTGTATGCATTTATATTAAACGAGCTTCTGTGGGCCTTAAATTTATATTTTCATTTGCCCCGTATACTTATAGAATTCACTAACAATATGGAAGTCCTATCTCTAACCGTATCTGGGGTATTAACTAATAAATACAATTTTTTTGTTTGTTTTGAGATAGAGTCTTACTTTGTCACCCTCAGTAGAGTGCTGTGGTATTATAACTCATAGCAACCTCAAACTCAGGCTCGAGTGATTTATTCTCCTGCCTCACTCTCCTTAGTGGCTGGGACTATAGGTAACTGCCACAGTGCCCAGCTATTTTTAGAGATGGGGTCTTGCTCTTGCTTGGGCTGGTCTCAAACCTGTAAGCTCAGGCAATCCACCTGCCTTGGCCTCCCACAGTGCTAAGCTTACAGGCGTGAACCACCATGCCCAGCCAATACATAAAATGTTGACCAAGCTGGACTCATTAAAAGCAAACTGCCACATTAAAAGAAACAAGTGAACATAAAGGAAACAAATGATAGCAAGAAAGAGATAGTGAACTACAGAAGCAGAGTAGGGATCTGTGGGGATCGGCACTCAGTCCCAGGCCTGGCTTGCACACCACCTTTTGAAATTGAATGCACATCTCTTGGGAAGTAGACAGGTAGGATTTATGATTGCAAATTTGCCCCTGGGCTTGAAAATTCAAGGTATCTCTGGATCAGTGACTATCCTCCCTCAAGATGGCCAACTAATTCTTCAATGGTAAGTGATACAGCAAATTAGAGAAAGGAAAATGGGAGCCTAGTGTTCATTCCCATTTGCTTCTGTGGGAAGGTAACTTGGTTCCTTCCTTCTCACCTTTCACAGTTTAGATTCTTTGGTTCAGACAGCATCTTTCACCAGTGGGAGGTGTCATGACAGATCAAAATCTCAGCACTGATATATATGGCAAGCCTTTCATGTAAGCTATTTTTTCTAGAAAGATGAACCAAACCATGGCTGAGTTGTCTCTCATGGAAACTATATCCAAACCCAGAAGTCACTGCCAAGCCTTGGAGGAAAACTCTTTCACTTTCTTTGTCTGACAAAGTTGGAGGGTGATTTTCCCACTGTCTTACCCAGTAGAGTGCTGAGGCTTGACCCTTGGGTTTGGGGCCAGGGGTGTGAGGCAGACAGAAGACCTTGCCCTCTGCTCCCTGGGAAAGTGCTTGAGAAGAAGTAGAGTTCCACAGAGTGCTGCTTCTCAGCCTTTGCCCTGCTTTGGGACCTAAACTCTGATCACAAACTGTTGGCCGACAGAAAACTGATTATTGACCTTCAGGAACCTTTGCAGAGATTATCCACTGGCAGTAGAGAATCTGAAGATATTCCTACCTTCTCTAGTTAAATGGTAGTCTAATCATATCCCCAGTTTCTAAATCTGGCAATGTTGGCAAGATCAACATCAATAACACTCTTTTTTTTTTTTTTTTTTTTTTTTTTTTGCTGTTTTCGGCCAGGGCCAGGTTAGAACCCACCACCTCTGGTATATGGGGCTGGCACCCTATTCCTTTGAGCCACAGGCACCACCCCCAACACTCATATTTCTAATTAACCTCGTCCCCTTGGAAAGCAATCTTTTTTTACTCTTTAGATTCTCTGTACATTGCATTACTCCTACAAATAATCAAATCTTTTTTACTACAATAAAATAAAGATCTAAGTCAATTAAACAGCTAGAAAAAGAAGTAGAACAAACTATGGTTGCTGATAAGTTACCATGGAAACAAAATCCAGACTGGAATCCACTTCTAGTCTCCCTTGGGTTGGGAACTCATAGACCTATTCTGCATCAAAGCAGCAAAAAGAAAAGAGAAAGATCAGAATGTGGTCAACTGTCAAGACTTTCAATTGCCTTTGTGTGTGTATGTATACACATATACACACACTTACACACATATATCAACATCCATGTGTGTATATCTCTCTATGATAGTAGATGGTTTTCACTTGTGTTCCTATACGTCAATTTAGATGTGTGTGTGTGTATACACATATACACACACTTACGCATATATCTACATCCATGTGTGTATATCTCTCTATGATAGTAGATGGTTTTCACTTGTGTCCCTATACTTCAATTAATTTAGATGTGGTAAGGCAAAGAAGAAAAAACACTTTCTATACTGCAAACAATACAGATTAATAAGCTTCACATACCATATGAATAAGCTATGTTTTTATCACCTGATTTGAAACAATGTCTAGACTATTGTTTCATCAACCCAGGTTTTAAGGATCAGAGAAATATGTAAAAAGCTCCAAAGAACATAGTTCTACAGACATTTTTGCTCTCATAAACCCTATAATTAATTAAGAAAACAATCTAATGCACATCTTGCAGGCTGAAATTGAAAATCTTGCCCCATGCTGTCTTCAATCTAAAATAAAACATCTTTTTCTCTATCATTCTGTCATGTACTGGAAGATAGTATCAGAAGGCACTTCTTCACATTTTAGTTTATATTAAAATAAATATGATATATGTCATGAGTGGGAAGACTAAAAGACAAACCTATCAAAAATAACTATAGCAACTTCTTAAAAGATAAGACAGTATAAAAAGATATGGATGGAAACAACAAAAAGTTAAAATGCATGGAGGGGATGAAGTTTAAGTGTAGAAATTATAGATTTCTCTTTACTTGTGTGCTTGCTTATAGGCAGAATTTTAAAAAATAATCAGTTGTAAAATGTATTTTTCAAGCCTTATGGTAACTTCAAATCAAACAAACCTATGACAGACACACAAAAAATAAGAAATAAGAAATTAAAAATATAGTCCCAGAGAAAATCACTTTTTAACAAAGGAAGACAGGAAGGAAAGAAAGAAGAGAGGACCACAGAACAACCAGAAATCAAATAACAACATGGCAGTAGTTAAGTCCTAACCTATCAATAATAACATCGAACAACTATGTAGTGATGGCTAGAAAAAGAAGTAGAATAACTACTTGGTTCTCAAGTATGGCCATTAAACATACTATTTAATAGCATAAACAGTAACTATTATACTTTTTAGTGAATGGACCAAACTTTCCAATCAAAAGACATAGAGTGGCTCAATAAATTAACAAAATTAGCCTGTCATATGTTGTCTTCAAGAAATAATTCACCTATAAGGAAACACATAAACCGAAAAATCAAGGGATAGAAAAACTAATCCATGCAAATGGAAAACAAAAAAAGAGCAAGATTCGCTATACTTGTATCAGATAAAATAGATTTCAAGACAAAAACTGTAAAAAGAGACAAAGAAGGTCTTTATATAATGATAAAGTAGTCAATTCAGCAAGAGAATTTAATAATTCTAAAAATATAATCACTTAACCCTGGAGCACCCAGATAAATAAAGCAAATATTATCAGATCTAAAGAGAGATAGAATCAATACGATAATTATTGAAGATTTCAACACTTCCCTTTCAACATTGGACAGATTATCCAGACAGAAAAATTAACAAAGAAACTTTGGACTTAACCTTCACTGTAGACCAAATAGATATTTATCCAACAACTGCAAAATACACAATACACATTCCTCTCCTCAGCTCATAGACCATTGTCAAGAACAGACCATATAGTTGGCCACAAAAAGTCTCAAAAGAAATTGTAATCATATCTAACATACCAAGAATTTCTCCCTACCAAAGTAGAATAAAACTAGAAATAAAGAACAAGAAATTTAATCTTAAATGATGCAAAGACATGGACATTAAGCAATATGCTCCTGGATGACAGGTAAGGTGAATCAATGAAGACATTAAGAAGAAAATTTAAAAAATCTCTTGAAGCAAATGAAAGTGAAAACACAGCATATCAAAACCATGGGATATAACAAAAGTAATAAGAGGAAAGTTTATAATAATGAGTGCTTATATAATAAACAACCTAACAATGTATCTCAAAGAACTAGGAAAATAAGAGCAAATCAAACCCAAAATTAGTAGAATAAAGAAGAACAGAGCAGAAATAAATGAAATTGAAAACAAAAAATGAAATCAACAAAGCAAAAAGTTTGGTTTTTGAAAAGATAAAAATCAACACACATTTAGCCATAGTAAGAAAAAACACCAAAATAAGTAAAATCAGAGATGAAAAAGATGACATTATAACTAATACTGCAGAAATCCAAAGGATTATTAGAGACCACTGTGAGCAACTACATGCAAATAGTTGCAAATATTAATGCAAATAGTAAACCTAGAAGAGATTGATACATTCTCTTCTGTATGTGTATGTGTATGATGCAGACACATACCACCTGTCAAGATTGAACCAGAAAGAAATCCACAGGCTGAATAAACCAGTAAAAGTGGGAGAAAAGTGGTGGAACCAGTAATAAAAAGTCTCCCATCAAAGAAAAGTCCAGGAGCCAATGGCTTCACTGAATTCTACCAAACATTCAAAGAGTATCATTCCTACTTAAACTACTCAAAAATAGTAGCAAATATTTGGTTTGCAAATATTTGGTTTGATACTAGCAAACCAAATTCAACAACAAGTTAAAAAGATTACTCATCATGATCAAGTGGGATTCATCCCAGGGATGGTTTAACATATGCAGAACAATGTGACAAATCCTATCAACAGAATGAAGAACAAAAAACATATGATCATTTCAATTGATGCTAAAAAACATTCAATAAAATTCAACATCCCTTCATGATAAAAACTCTCAAAAACCTGAGTTTAGAAGGGAATTACCTCAACATAATAAAAGCCATATATTATATGACACACAGCTAGTATCACACAGAATGGGTAAAAACTAAAAGCCTTTCCTCTAAGATGTGTAACAAGGCAACGGTGCTCACTTTTACCATTTGTTATTCAACACAGTACTGGAAGTTCAAGCTAGAGCAATCAGCCAAGAAAAAGAAAGAGCATCCAATCTGGAAAGGAAGAAGTCAAATTATCCTTGTTTGCAGATGTTATGATCTTAAAACTAGGGAAACATAAAGACTCTACACCAAAAAAATTATTATTAATGAATTTAGTACAGTTGCAAAAATCAGTAGTTTTTCTATATGCCAACAGAAAACAATCTGAAAAAGAAACCAAGAAAATAATCCCATTTATAACAGCTACAGATGAAATAAAATTTCTAGTAATATTTTAATTAAAGACATAAAAAAATTCTACAATGAAAACTATATAACATTCATGAAAGAAATTGAAAAGGCCACAAAAAAATGGAAAGATATTCCATGCTTATGGACTGGAACAATAAATACTGCTAAAATATCCATACTACCCAAAGCAATTTATAGAATCAATAAAACCCCCACTAAAATACCAAACATTCTCCACATAAGTGGAAAAAATAATTCTAAAATTTATATGGAACCACAAAATACCAGAATAGCCCAGGCTATACTGAGCAAAAAAGAATAAACCTGGAGGAATTATATTACCTGACTTAAAATTATATTACAGAGCTGTAGTAACCAAAACAGCATGGTACTTGCATAAAATCAGACACATAATCCAAAGGAAGAGAATAGAGAACCCAGAAATAAATTCACACATTTATTATAACTTTAAACTTATCTTTACTTACCAAGAATATATAGTGGAGAAAGGATAATCTCTTCAAAAAATATTGCTGGAAAAACTGAATATCCATATACAGAAGAATGAAACTAGACCCTTATCTCTCACCATATACAAAAATCTAATTAAAATGAATTAAACATGTAAATCTAAGACCTGAAACTACAAAAATGCTAGACGAAAACTTTGGGAAAATACTTCAGGATATTGGTGTGGGCATTACACTGAGTAAAAACCCCCAAAGCATAGGCAACCAAAGCAAAATTCAACAAACATGACCATATCAAGCTAAAAACTTACACAGTGAAGGAAGCAATCAACAAAAGGAAGAAACAGCCCACTGAATGGGAGAAGATATTGCAAACTATCCACGTGACAAGGGATTAATAACTATAAAATATAAGGAGCTCCACAATTCAATAGGAAATATCAAATAATTTGATAAATTGTGGGCCATGAATCTGAATAGACATTTCTCAAAAGAAGACATACAAATTTCTAACAGGTATATGAAATAATGATCAACATCATCAGTCATCAGAGAAATGCAGATTGAAACTACAATGAGATATCATCTCACCCCAGTTAAAATGGCTTTTACCAAAAAGATAGATAATGAATTCTGTGGAGGATGTAGAGAAAGAGGAACTCTGGTACACTGTTAAGGGGAGTGTACATTAGTGCAACCACTATGGAGAACAGAATGGAGTCTCCTCAAAGAACTGAAAAAAGACCTCCATATGACTCAGCAATCCCACTGCTGAGTGTATATCCAAAGGAGGGGAAATCAGTATATTGAGAAGATATCTGCACTCTCCTGTTTATTAAAGCAGTATATACAATTGCCAAGATTTGGAATCAATGTAAGTGTCCATCAACAGATGAGTGAAAAAAGAAATTGTGGTATATATACCCAATGGGATAGCACAAAACCAAGAAAAGAGTGAAATCTTGCCATCTTCAACAACATGGATGAAACTGGAGAACATTCTGTTAAGTGAAATAAGCCAAGCACAGAAAGACAAATATCACGTGTTCTCACAGGTGGGAGCAAAATATTAAAAACAATTGATCTCACAGAGAGAGAACAGAATGATGGTTATAAGAAGTTGGGTAATGTAGTGGTAAAAGGGGTGGGGATAAAGTAGAGATTGTGAATAGGTAGAAAAATATAGTTCAATAGATAGAATGAACAATATTTGATAGCACAATAGTAACTATAATCAACTTAGGGCATACTTTAAAATAACTAAAAGAGTGAAATTTAAATGTTTCTAACACTAAGAAATGATCAATGCCTGAAATGATGGATATCCCAATTACTTTAATTTGAGTAATTCATATCCACATGCCTATATCAAAACATCATGGGGCGGTGCCTGTGGCTCAGTCAGTAGGGCACCGGCCCCATATACAGAAGGTGCTGGGTTCAAACTTGGCCCTGGCCAAATTGCAACAACAACAACAAAATAGCTGGGCATTGTGGTGGGCACCTGTAGTCTCAGCTACTTGGGAGGCTGAGGCAAGAGAATCACCTAAGCCCAAAAGCTGGGGATTGCTGTGAGCTGTGATGCTACGGCACTCAACTGAGGGTGACAAAGTGAGACTCTGTCTCTAAACAAACAAACAAACAAACAAATAAATCACATGGACTGTATAAAGGTCTATAACTATGTGCCCATACTAATTAAAACTTTAAAAAAACAAAATAAATGTGACAGAATCATTGCTTTTAGGGGTATACTATGTGCTGCCAGGCCTCATGAGAACGTTTACAGTGGGAGAATTCAGGAACTATGAGTTGCCTTCCTGCATAGCATGCTGTATAATAGATGCTTCATTAACATCAAATGAGCCAACAACTCTTTTTTGGCTTTCCATTAAGAGTTACTTCCCAGGTTCAAACTCACCTAACAGAAGTGAAAGAGAGGCACTAAGACTGGCAGAAAATTCTCAGACCACCAAGGCTTGTATGAAAGGTCTTTACTGATGGGGGGAGGGAGGCTGCAGAGCAGCACTGAAGAGGGGAGAGAGTGGGGAAGAGAAGAGAGAGTAGAGAAGAGGAAGGGAACAGAAGGAAGGCAGAGAGCAGAGAAGGAAGACAGAGGAAGGTCCTCTTATATAGGGGAGTTTTAGAATGGTGAGGGCTGGTGGGATAACCAATAAAGAGGTATTCCTCCAGCAGAAAGAGTCATTGGGTCGGGCAGCAGGAAACGGGAACAGGGTGATGAGGTAAGCACGCCACTCCCTGTGCTAGGGGAGGAGTTGTAAGTTTAAGGGTAGGAAGGAGCTTTTTTAGGGGAAGGGGCTTTCTGAGGCAATAATCTAACATTCCTCCCTTCTTGAAATTTAAAAAATAGAAGATTGGCCTTGGGAAAGTGGATGTCGAGTTCTCTCTTCTGTAATTTCTTCCTGCTGAGAGGGGCACGTAGTTTTTATTGGCCAACTAGAGAATGATTATGAATTTTGTTGGGAGGATACAGTGGCTGTTTCAAAGTGGTGTTCAGGAAGGTCTTGGAGTCTGGAGCAGATGTAGCTCATTCACGGAGAACAGTTTCTTTCTTCTTGTAGGTTGGGAGCTGTATCTGGGATGTAGGTTTGAAGTATTAGCTGAGTAGTTACCTGTTAGGATAACTTTGAGCGTTGGGTTTGAATAAAATGAGTTATGTATGGAGTTAGGTAGTAATATAATTGTAGAATAGAGACTTGGAATTTATTTGTGAGACGAAAGAAAGCTTTGAGAAATTGTAGTAAAGTTTGAGAGTTGGAGTGAAACAACTTGTGGAGATAGATGAGGAGGTTTCGAGTGGGAGGTTGATTTGTTTCTTTATTGTATTAACAATAGGGGTAGAAATAAGTAGGAGGTGAGAGGAGGTATTGGAATAGGTTAGTTAGAGGCAGTAGGTAAGAGGGTTGTCGGATTTAATAAAGTACATTGCAGAGATTTAAAAGGAGTGGAAATGGAGGTTAGGAGAGGTTTATGAGGGTTATCTTGAGTAGTATTATATAAAGAAATGGAGAAAAGTTGGGAATTTATGTTTTTGAGGTATTTAGTTAATTTTAAAAGGAGAGGAGTTTTTGTTTTATACTGGGTAGAAGAAAGTTGTGAAGAAGGTTTGTTTATGGTAACAGTTTTGAAGTTTGGGGATAAAAGGCTTGTATAATAGGTTGAAGTTTTAAGAGAATAGATTGAGGAAATGGATATTGATGTTGAGAAAGAAAAATAGAAGGGTTTTTTAGTTTAATAAGAATTGGAGAGTAGGAGGTAATTGAGGGGGTTTTGTATTTTAAATTTTAGGATTTGCTCTGGTGGAATAGGCTAGGGCAATGGGCTTTTTATGGTTTGGGAAAGGATGAGGCAGAGTGAGGCAGAAGGAGATGGGTCAGCATTTATCAATTTAAGATTAAAAGGATGTTATTTAATTTGGAAAGTATGTTATGTTTCAAAAGGGGAATTGGATAGGAAGTAATATTAAAAGGAATATATAAACGAGAAATTGCCAATTATATAGTCTAAAAAAGGAGTTTGATGTGGACAGTGGGAAAAATATTTTACCCAAGAATAGAGTTAGGTAATAGGAGGTAGGACCCCTGAACTTTTTAAGAATTAAGTTAGCTCTTGTGTCTAATAGGAAGGCAATCACTTTACCTGCCATCATCAGAGTTACTTCATGGCTCTGTAGAGGTGCATTGGGTGAGAGAAGACAGGGTTCCGGTCAGTCTTCAGAAGAGGCAAGCCCCCATAAGTTTGCTGTATGTAGGTGCCACAGTTTGGCTGGCTCCACGGCCTCTTTGGGCCAAGGGGCAGTCAGCCTTCTAATGGCCCTGGCGGGGGCCTGGGACTGAGGCAACGTCATACCCAGTTGTCTTCACTGTATTTGTAGTAAGGTCTAGGTGGTTGAGTTATGAAGTAGCCTTTTGCCTCTGATGACTTAGGTAGGTTAGAATGATGGCCTTAGTGACACCGTAATGTTTTGAGCTAGGATTTGATAATTTGGGGGTTGAGAATTTTTATTTTCCCTTCAGAAAATATCATCTCATCCCGTGTAAATTTTAAAGGCTGTGTTTAAGATCATGGCCTGGGGTGTTAGGGGTCCGTGCTCCAAGTGTTTTAGCTTAAGTTTGATGTCGTGGTAATTTTGGTTAAAGAAATAAGTTATAAGAATGCTTTTTCCCCACTTATAGTTTTAGGATTTAAGTTAGTATATTTAATAAAAGTCTCCATAAGGTGTTGGAGGAAAGTTGTATGATTTTTAGATTTATTTTGTATGATTTTCTGTAATTTATTATAATTGATAGCCTTTTTGGTGGAAGCTTTAAAGTCTGTAAAGAATGTAGGTAATAAAAATGTTTCTACTTTTTCTCCCAGTATAATTATTATAATTCCAATTTGGCTAGAAGTTAAGGATGGCAGTATTATTTGTAGGATGTTTATTGATTGATATGTCAAATCGATTTGCTGCCTCTTTCGCCTTCTCCCACACTCGCTGGTGTTAGTTAGAAGTTAGGGTATTAGGTAAAAATAATAAAAATATTATGTTAGGTAAGTTCATAGGATATAGTAATAAATTGAAATTTTTGTATAAAATGAGAAGGATTAGAAGTAAAGGAATTTAGTTTATATAGTGGCATTGTAGGAAGAGTTGGAGGAAGAAAGGGGTAAGAGGTTTGGAAGTGTTTTTAAAGTAGTTGGCATTGGTCTGAGTCCCGCTGTGGGGCGCAGGAAATGTGGCAGACAGAAGACTCATTCCGGGATGTTACCCGTGTGGGGCCCAAGTCTCTCTGATCAAGGCTTTGCCTGTGGATGGTGTAAGGTGGGCAGTGGCCCCCGGTTCACTGGGCTTGGGTCCTCCTGGAGCCAGGCTGCCTGGGAATGTAGTTTAAAGCAGGTGACAAACTCTATCTAAGGTTAACAAGCACCATAAGGGAAAGTTGAAAAGAACCTTGAAGAAAGAATTCTGAGGGCTAGTTGGAGGGGAAGAGTTAGGAGATGAGTTTAGATTGGTTGACGGAGAAGTAGGAGGGATAGAGGGTGGAGGTAACTGGGCGTTTGTTTCAGGACTGGTGGTTGCATTCCTATGTAGCAGGGGGTTATCAGTTGGGTTGAATAGGCTTTGTTTATGGAGATAGAGAGTAGACAAGTTTTTTGTTATAAGAAGTTTGGAATTACTTGAACATAAATTAGGTTTGGTTTTAAGATTTGAGAAGTTCTGAATATAGAAGACCTCGCTCTATTTGCCAAGGTGCTCAGAATAGTTATATACATTTTAAATTAAAGAAAAATTAAATGAATTATAGTTTGGTTAGATACTTTGGTTATTTAGTTTGTAAAATAGTCAAACCTGGGTAGAGAATTTAATTGATTTTTTGGCTTTAAGTTAATTCTAATTTTACCAGGTGGCATGATAAGTACCCCGAGGGGGAACTAGGTGGGACTGAATGACCTGCACTCCTGGTGATTAGTCGCAAGAATAAAGCGGGAGAATAAACCCTCTCTGCTGCTTTGTGCTGGCCATGTGCTGGCCAAGTGAACAAGGACGACTGTTTATAGCATAGCCATCACTATGCTTAAACAGTGTCAGACCTATGAGGCTGAGGAAGCTTGAAACCTGATGTCAGGAATTTTCGTGTGAGGCGTGGAAGCCCTGGGCTAAGCCACACAAGGTTAATGGGAATAGGGTATTCAAGCTCGGAGAATGGGTAAATTGCCAGGAATGTAAGCACTTTAGTCCATGATTTAGGGAAAATCCTCACTCCCAAAGGGTACTTAACAAATCTGGATGAGGCTGATGTTGCGTACTGGTTAGAGCGCCTTGGCAGATAGACACAAGCTGATGCGGTGGTGAGTTGCCAGGAGTGGGTGAAGTGGATAGGGAGCCCCAGGGAGCTAAAACCCTGTGGAAGGGGTGGAAGCTACCCTTGGGAACATTCCCCAATTACATCCAGCTTCTGACACCAGATGAAAGAGAGGCACTTTGACTGGCAGAGAATTCTCAGACCACTGAGACTTGTACGAAAGGTCTTTATTGGTGGGGGGAGGGAGGCTGCAGAGCAGCATTGAAGAGGGGAGAGAGTGGGGAAGAGAAGAGAGAGAGAGTAGAGAAGAGCGAGAGGGAAGAGAAGGAAGGCAGAGAGCAGAGAAGGAAGACAGAGGAAGGCGGGAGAGAGAGAGAAATGGCGGGGGGGGGAACATATTCTTATATAGGGAGATTTTAGAATGGTGATGGGCTGGTGGGATAACCAATAAGGAGTTATTCCTCCAGCAGAAAGAGCCATTAGGGGCAGGCAGCAGGAAATTGGAACAGGGTGATGATTTAAGCACTCCACTCCCTGTGCTAGGGGAGGAGTTGTAAGTTTAAGGGTAGGAAAGGGCTTTTTTAGGGGAAGGGGCTTTCTGAGGCAATAATCTAACAAGAAGTTCCACCATGGGAAACTGATGAAATTGATCACAATAATGGATTTGATTCCAACATGACATTGTATCTTAGAGCAAAATGACTACAGACCATCTTCATATTCTTTTTCAGTTTTATTAGGTAAGGACTGAACTATTAATTTTTCCTACCTAAATGGCCTAATATTCCAGGAATCTTTCTGGTTAAAGTTCCTGTCGGACACTAAATACCACACCCCCAAAATGAAATTGTTGGAACTATCTTGCTGTGTGTTATGAACAGTTGGAATCAACAAGGTAGCAACACTCAGTTCTTAGAGAGCTAGACCCAGTAATGGGAAAAATGCAGCCCTGTTGGCATTGCCAATGCTGCAGGAAATCTTGTCTCTTAGAAGGAACAATCCTCAAACAATTGACAGGAAAACAAAAGCAAAGTTTCAGATCTCTTTAAATCAGAGTAAGCAAATTATCAGCTCATTACTTTAAGTCAGGAGGCACTTCAAACTTCCCCTCAGTAAACCTCTCCTATTTCATAGAAGACTTGGGTAAATGATTTGCTTAAAGATATTCAGGAAGCTAGTGAGAAAATCAAAATGAGTAGCCATTTTCATAATATCCTTTTCTCCCAACAAACTAAATTCTTATGCCTCAGATTGCACAGAAATTTGAATGAAATCTTTCAGTTGCAAATATGCCAGGATGCTTTAACTGGGGATCTCTACTCCTCTATAAGAACTTTATAAGCATTCCTTCAACAATGGCCAGGGAAATGCTTTTAACCTACCACTGTCTACTTTGAAGTTGTTTCCAGATGTGGGTCATTGTAAATAAAGCTGATATAATAAACATTTGTGTACAAGTCTTTGCAAGTGTATATACTTTCATTTGTTTTGGTTAAATACCCAAAAGTGTCACTGCAGAGTTATGTGGCAAATAAATATTTTTTTAAAAAACTGACAAATGTTTTCCCAAGTGGTTTCATCATTCCCACTCCCAGTAGCAGTTTATGGCAGTTCCAATTGCCTCTCTACCTTACCAACATTCAGTATATATTTGTATGTCAATAATACTCCTTATTTTAAAAGGAAAACAAACAAACAAACAACAACAATAACAACAACAACAGCAACAAAAAACCAAAAAGCTTAAACTCACTCCCCTTACCACCCAAAATTGGTTCTCTGATTGGTTCAGGCTAATCTCCTGACTAATATCAACACCATCTTTTTTTTTCTCTCTGTTGATAGTCTGCAAAGGCAGCATTTAGGAGATTCAGGCTCTAGATGGCACACTCCATGCCATCCTTAGCAGATTTTGTATTTTGCCTAGACTTCCATTACCACATTCAAACATAATTACATTTCTAATATTGGGGTTAGTTGGGGTGGGAGGGTTATTTGTTTAAAAAAAAAAAAAAAAGGTCTATCACCATTGTCCAGGCTACAGTACAGTGGCATAATCATAATATAGTACACAGTAACCTCTAATTCTTAAGGCTCCAGTGATCCTTCTGCCTTAGCCTCCCAACTAACAGGGACTACAGGCTAATTTTTACATTTGTTATAGGGATGAGGCAAGGTATGTTACCTAGGTTGGTCTCGAAGTCCTGGCCTCAATTAATACTTATGCCTTGGCCTCCCAAAGTATAGTCAGGATTCTTTATGTGATGTATGAAATCTAAGTTAAGGAAGAAAGATTTGAAGTATGATTTTGTGTGTATTTATTGTGGGCATTGTTGTATAGAAAGAATTCCTAACTTTGATCAGATAAGAATTTCCAGGCTATGTGGTTTCTAATATCTACCCAAGTTCTAAGATTCTACAAATTACTTCATAGTATGAAGTATAGTATGATAGTATTTCTCAAAATATATCAATACTATCATATAGTATGAAGTATAGTATGATAGTATATCTCAAAATGTCATATAGTATGAAGTATAGTATGATAGTATATTTCAAAATATATCAATACTATTATACATTTATCCATTATTCTTTATATTTGGTCTTCAGTTTACCAGGAGATCAGAAATATTTTATAACAATTGCCTACTAGTTACAGATTATCAAAACACCAAGCTGTAATCACTTTCCCTGCAGCCTATTTCCATAGCTGCCATCTCTAGCTACCATCTAATTTTCTACTGACTGAGCCCACAGATAATCATGCTCTAGCTTCCTTTCCTGGACTTCTCTTTCACCTGTTGTTGATACGAAGCTGTAGAGAGCAATGTACATAGAAACAGCTTACCAAGGAAGCACCTTGTGATAGTAAGGTTGGGCAGCTAAAGGTCATGATCATAGAAATTATGTCAAAGGTCAGAGACAAATGAAGATCATAAGATCAAAAGTGAAGGGGGCAGAGCCAAGATGGCGGACTGCAGCCAGCTTTTTACAGAAGCTCCCGTCCAGAAGGAGGCTTAAAGGACAGAAGTTTAGCAAGAGAGCTGATGGTTTGGAGTGGAGCCAAGAGAGAAGATTGAAGAGTGCACTTCAACCTTCCTGAGGTGAGCTGCAACCCCAAAAATAGAACCAAAAGGTACAAAATCCACCACCAGATGGACGGGAGCCTCCTCCCACACAAGAAGGGCTTGCAGTTTACTCCATGAAAACAAGTGAGCAGAGTTCAAACATCCTCCCACTCTATCCCACAGGAGAGACCCCCTAAAAACTGGACCTCCTACCCCTGCTGGCATGCCACAGCACCCTCCTGCCAGGCATAAAACTGTAAAACTGTATAAAACTGTGTATATTCCCCATCTGCAACACTGAACTCTGAGGATCTCCCCCCCCCCCCCACCGAGGTCTGGAGGTTTGTTACCTATGGAGTCCAGATTCTTGGGCATCTCTTTGAGAGAAGTGGAGGGGGAAAGGGCTGGTGCTGACTGTAGCACAGGAGTGAGGAGAAGAAAGTTGGCTCAGAAGGAAGCCATACAGCAACAGTGGCATCCTGAGCTGCGAACTGACGCCATTCCAGATAGTCAAGCCCCATCTCTCTGGGCAAACAGAGGTTCCGGACAGCAGCCACAGACAGAACAGAGTTGGTAACTTTCATAAGTAAAGAGACCATGAGCACCAGCCCTCAGGGGAATAGCTGAGACCAAGGCAGTGGGCAGGAAGTGGCTGGAATTGACACCTGAGTGTAAACTTTAATTTGCTTGCTGCCCAGAGCTCAGTTCTTCACCAGCTCTAGCAGCCTCTGACTTGGTGGAAGAATCTAGCCAGGAAAGGGGCTGGAATTAAGAGAACATTCACAGCCTAATTTAAATATGCAAGGCCCCCCTGCCAGATGCAGATTTCCAGGTGATTTTGGCAGTGATAAACCCTGGGAGCAGTTGCCTACTGAAGTGAATAGGGTCACAGACCTGGGGGATTATGAGTGACTGGGTGCAAGTTGGGGAAGGAGGTATTAACCTTCCCAGACTAACCCATTTGCTGGATGGGTTCCTTTGCCCTCACAGAGCACTGGAGCAAGTTATATCCAAGCTGTGAGCAGACCTCTCTTATCTAGCTGCTGGAGACATTTGAACTCTTCCACCTGAAATGGGTGCTGACTGGGACAACTGATTTGGACCCCTTAAACCGGGCAGACCACCCAGGGATTATTCAAAGAGGCACCATGGGTGTATGGTTGAGGGAAGGTTTGATTTTCCTTGCCTAATTGTTTGTGGGGGGCAAGGTGACTTAATGGCTGGTATTTCTCCATAGCAGAGACTTCAACCAAGAGTAACTGAATCACTAGGGTAGGACAGAGACCAGCTAAAAATAAGACAGAGCCATTTAGCCCCACCACACCAAGCAGGTCCTCAGTCTATCAGGCCTTAACACCATATGGGTCCTTGACAAACCTTAAGGGGAATAGCCAAATGGGGTAAAATAAACATGTGGCAGAATCAGTGGAAAAGCTCTGATAATATGAATAACCAGAGTAGATCATCCCAAAAAAAAGGATGTGGCTGGTAATATGAATAACCAGAGTAGGCCAACCCCACCCCAGAAAAGGATGTGGCAGATGGAACTGAAGATTCTCTATATAAACAGATGGCTGCAGTGTCAAAAATTGAATTCAGAATTATAGAATAGAGGCAAAGATAGAACCAAAAGTTCAAGGAGCATTCCAAAAGTTCACTCAAGAATTCAACGAATTCAAAGACAAAACCACCAAAGATTTTGAAACATTAAGGCAAGAGATTGCAACCCTCAAAGATCTGAAAAATACAGTAGAATCTCTTGGTTACAGAGTGCAAGAGGCAGAAGAAAGGATCTCAGACATAGAAGAATTAGCTTCTGAATATGTCCAAACATCCAAAGAGAATCAGAAATGGAAAGCAAAAAGGGATCATTCTCTCAGAGAGCTCTGGAATAATTTGAAGAAAACTAATATTTGCCTTATAGGAATCCCTGAAGGTGATGAAGTTGCTTTGCAAAACACAGAGGCTCTTCAGTATGAAATTATGAAAGAGAACTTTCCAGATATGTCAAGAGATCCTGAAATCCAGATTTCAGACAGCTTCAGAACCCCAACACAACTCAACCTGAATAAGACATCCCCCAGACACATCATAATTAACTTCACTAAAGTTAATATGAAAGAGAAAATCTTGAAAGAAGTGAGACGTAAGAAAACCATAACCTAAAAGGGGAAGAATATTAGAATAACTGCAGATCTCTCTGCTGAAAACTTTCAGGCAAGAAGAGGGTAGTCATTGACATTTAATCTCTTAAAACAAAGTAACTTTCAGCCCAGGATCCTGTATCCAGCTAAACTGATTTTCATTTATGATGGATAAATTAAATACTTTAATGACATACATGCATTGAAGAAATTTGCCATAACTAAACCAGCTCTCCAGGATATTCTCAGACCTATTCTCCATAATGACCAGTGTAATCCTCCACCACAAAAGTAAACTAACTCAGAAACTATTGATCAAACTCCAACTTCTACA